ACAATTTGTATCATGACTTCACTTTTATAAAAATAACACATAGTTATTTTTAGATGTTTCTACAGCAGAGGAAAAAAGAAACTATACAATGGTTACATGGTGTAGTTTATAAGGGATGGAGTATTTTTATTTTCTAATTTTATCAGCCAAACTAAATTTGCTGTAATGAGTGTTATCATTTTGTCAAAAGAAGATTAAAACTATTTTAAAAATAATAACTGCAATCTAACAACATATGCAATATATGCTTCTTCTGTTAATCAGGTATATGGAAATCATTTTTTAATTTTTCATTTCTTTCTTTTTTTTTCCTTTTTTTGGAGACAGGATCTGGCTCTGTTGCCCAGGTTGGAGTGCAGTGATTTTTTTGTAGAGATGGTGTTTTGCCACGTGGCCTAGGCTGGTCTTGAACTCCTGGACTCAAGTGTTCTTCCCACCTTAGCCTCTGAAAGTGCTGTTATTACAGGCATGAGCCACTGTGCCCAGCCAGAAATAATTTTTTTCTTTAAAACATATCTTGAATACCTTTTGAGAATCTCAATTTAACAGTTCTCTTTGTAATTTGTATAATGAATTCTATATACGCAGTATAATTAATTTTCTTCCCTAATGTATACCTCCTAATTTAAAATTCATGGGCCTTCACACCTGCCACAATTCTGCTACATTTGGGATTTCACAGAACCACCTTATTTTTTCCCATAATCCAGTATCTTTTGAATTTTAAGTCTTCCTCAACGGCCCACTTTGAAAGGTCTGAAATCTATTTCTCCACTAGGTGGCAACACTGTTCTTAAAAAAAATTATATCATGGCCTACTTGAATATGCACAACTAGTTCTTAATTCATTTTGATTCAGAATGTATACCTGTACATAGGCTATTTTAAGAGTTTGTGAAAAGTTAATTATGTTGATTCAATCTACAGCATTTTCATATAAAACATAACTTGTATTCCTTCCAGAAAAGTTGACATTCCTTCATTTATGTTTTTAACAAAAGACTCACTCAGCATTTAAGGAAGATTGATTCAACGTTACTGTGTATCTTGTATTTCAATGAATACAAAGGACAACACTATTCATGTCTTAAATGAGTGCAATCTATTAGGGGAGATAAGATAAATGATAAATAAATGTAATATCAAGACAATATCTTTAGGTACATAAAAAGACAAGATAAAAAAGACAGAATGGGGCTAAGTGGTATAAAACAGATAGAAAATGCTATGGAAACACACAGAAAAGAAAATTATTACTTTTTTTTTTTTTTTGAAATGGAGTTTTGCTCTTGTTGCCCAGGCTGGAGTGCAATGGTGCGATCTCAGCTCACTGCAACCTCTGCCTCCCAGGTTCAAGTGATTCTCCTGCCTCATCCTCCCAAGTAGCTGGGATT